AAAGCTTCGTCATGCCAAGTGACTTGGTTACGAGATTGGTCGAGATTTACGGAGGGAAGGAGAACCAATCAGCTAAGTTGAGCTAAATCTTTGTTAAGTGTCAGGCGAGGGATTTTGTGTGTTAGGGTGTGTTATGTTGATGAGGAAACTTAAATGGATTTGGGTCCAGCTTAGGGTCTAGTGTTTCTGGTTCACGTGATGCTCCCTCTTGATTGTCATTTGTACTTTTCGTGTGGATGAGCTAGTCCTCTCGTTCATCACCGGTCATCTTAATCAGGAAGTCTGACGGTGCGTACAAGTTCTGTAACGAATACCGAGGATTAAATAACCCTACGATCAAGGATGCGCTTCAAATTTCTGTCAGTTTACGTGAGGCTCAAGTTGTTTCGCTGACAGACTTGTGTCCTTATTCAGGACACTTGCCGACTACGAACCGTGCTGAGCACAAAACAGCGTTCTGTGTCGACAGACAAAAGTATGAATTCCTTCAGAAGCCTTTCAGCCTTCGCAATGCTCTGGCAACGTTTCGAACGTATCGGAGGGCCTTGAATTCGTAGTAGTGTACGGGAACGACAAAAACAAATGATGAGGAAGCGACGATACATTCAGCGGCCAACTAGCCACGGAGCAGGTGACAGGCTCACCAGCAAATGCCACACTACTGGGTTATCCCGTTGGAGGCTACCACATGACGTCTACACAGGAGTTCCAACGCACAAATCCAACCACTTTACCAAATCCTACAAATGGATTGTTTTGAATGACGAACTAGAGCCCACGTTAAGAAATTAAGGATTTTTCCTCTAATGGAATGATGTCCCACCGTACCCTTCAGCACATAAGCCCACCATGGCAGTAGACGCAAGTGATACAGTAGAATAGCCGCCTCCTTGTCAATGTCATCCAATGCGATCGAGTGTTCTGATCATCAGCTGACAAATGCAGAGAGAAAATATTCGACGGGCGAAGAGTGTTCGGGAATATGCGGGTACCAGACAATCGGAGAAACTGTCTGCTAACAGCTGAGTTTGATGTCTTCGCTGATAAAAAGGACGGTTAACCTGGGTGATGACAACAAAGGATCTACGGCGACAGGAGAACCATTTTTGTAGAAGCTGATATCTGAAACACCGATCAAGAGTGTCAGAGTGAGGCGTACCTGCGAGGCAAGTACCGGTGATACTACTGATGGGGAGGCATGCGAGTAGTAGGTTATCTTCTTGTAAATTAGCTTTACGTCTCTTGAAAAGGATTTGTGGAGTTGCTTTGTAGCATTTACTTGAATCTGAGCGAAAGTCGACGTATATCCAGGAAAGTTCAGGAAGACCCGTTCAAAGGAAAAAGGATGTACAGTTTTTGTAAATAAGATGCATATGAGCGTTTTGTTTCCCCGTCCAGTAGTCTGTAATTGGTCAGTAGGCACTTTCTAACAAAAAGCCCCCTTCCTTTCACCAGTATCAAGCAAACAAGTCCTCGACAAACAACAAAGTAGTGCGTTCCGGGCAATGATAGAGCACCTGTGGCGCGGAAGGAGGTAGCAGACCCACTACCGAGAAAATAAAACTGGCTGGATGTGGAGGAAGTAAAGCCGATTGTAAATTTACCCACCGAGCACCGCTGGCGACCGCGTCCAAGACCGCACGTCCCAGAGATCAGTCATCATCATTGTCAGCTGTAATAACCGCGTACTCGTCGTACAGTGGTTGTAGATGCCGCAGTTTCGTTCACCGATGTTTTTTTTTGGGGGGGGGACAGGTACTGTGGGCTGTCAAGTGGGGGGAGGGGTTGGAAAAGAAGTTATGCAGCGTCCACTGATGTCCCTCCAGAGGTCAGTCATAGACGCTTTACGCAGCTATCACATGAACTGCCTGACTGATTATCGGGACGATGTGAATTGATGATTTTGATCCCTAGCAGACCGGGGAACAGACATATCGTCGTCATGACGATGAGTGGAGACCGGCCCAACAGTAAAGTGCCCACACACACACACACTGATCAGGACCTTTGCCTTGAATCCCGTAGGTTCTACGAGTAGCTGAGTCATTGAGGAGTTTTTCAAAACTCCATTCAACATGTCATGCCCAATCCAACGGACTGACTGGAAGATCTAACCGTACTATGAAAGAATGGTTGGCGTTAAGTGTCCTTCGACAATGGAACGATGAAAAATTCCACATAACAGATTGAATTGTTTGAGTAAGTTAACATTCGGGAAGGCAGAACGCCAGTGACTACCTAACGAGTAAAAACGAAAGATAACTATCGCGTAAAGAACACATGCATTAAGCGCTGCGGTCGAAAACCACGCTCGGAAATTGAAAGATTGGCCAAAACAATGAACTTTCTAACAAGCCATAAACGAGGGCGGCCAGCCTAAAGGAACTGGAGATATGCACAAAAGCGTCTATCCCCACTTCCCCTTCCGAGCGCATCATCATCATTATGGACAGCATGACACCAGTGTTCAACACCGATGCTTCGCTGCCGTACAACCGTGATTTATTGGAAAGACTTATTGTAAAGAAAAGAGTAAAGGTGGACGGGGAAGGGACTTAGTGCTAGCTTACCACAATCATTCCGAGGTGCCCACACCTCCAGACATTCACTCA